TCTGGCAACTGATTGCCCTGGGTGGGGGGGGTGAGGGGGAATGCCTGCGCATCTGACCTCCCCCCACAGCAGGCGTGTCACCCGGGCCCTGACTTGGACTCGTTGGCTGTCACTCTCCTGCCCCGCAGGAGAGTGACCATCCCAGGAGCCATTTGCTCTGGCCATTTGGCTTGCTCTGTCTGCTGGGGGAGAGACTCTTGAGTAGGGACTGGCCTGCACGTGAGCCACGTGGCCTCGCTGTGCTGTCTTGCATTCCAGGAGCCCGGGCTCCTTCCTGAGTGTGCCAGCCATGGCTGCGCCCCAGCGCAGCTCCAGCTCCATTGGGAACCCCTCTCAGAGCCCATGCTCTGGCTGTCAGGCAGCTGTGGGCTCACCTCGTCCAGCTGCTCTGTCTGCCCTCGTGCTGACCCCTGGCCTCGCCCTGCTCCCTCTGCATTGACTCGTGCTGCCCACTGTCTGAAGCAGCGTCCTGCCACCTTCCCCCTCAGTTTGTCAAATTCCCTTTTGGGAGGAGAAGGCCCCTTTGCTCGCGCATTGAAGCTGGTCCAGAGGTGACCCTTCTGTTGGCATCCCTGTTGGCATGTGCTGACCTCCCCCGGGCACTAGTCACTCTTCACCTTAGACAGTCTCCGGGTGCTTGTCCCACACCTGATGCTCTTCCTGGTGCTAATACCTGGTGTACACTCTGGGCCTGGTACCCTGGCTCTGTGACCTCCTGGTCTAGTTTCCCTCAGATCTCTCCACTCTGCAGCCCTGCAAGGAAGCGAGCCTGGCCATTGCACAGATGAGGAGGTGAGGATGAGGGGCGTTAAGTAGCTCAGTGTCCAAAGCCTCGGAGCTAATGGGCGGCAGCAGCTGTCAGGCCGGTGGGCGTGCGGGCAGGTGGGCCCTCCCCAGCGGAGCTAGAAGTCAGAGCAGCAGGATGTGACTGGCGCGCTCTCTCCCCTTGTGCCTGGAAGGAGGGTTTGCGCACAGAGAATTTTCAGTGTGTCCTGGATGACGAGCGGAATTGCCCTTCTGGTTCCAGGAGCCCTTCTCTGGAAGATCGAGCAGAAGTCCAACCGCGCGTTTGCCTGTGGGAAAGTGACCATCAAGGGGAAGCGGCACTGGTACGAAGCCCTGCCGCAGACGGTGTTTGTGGCGCTGAGCGAAGACACGGCCTGGGCCGTCAGGACGAACGGAGACCTCTACCTGCAGACAGGTGAGCAGGGGCGGGGCGGGGCGCAGCGAAGGCAGACTCAGCTGCACCCAGAACACTGTCGCAGCAAGGAAGGTGCTGACAGCGAATGGGAATTCAAACACTCCAGCAAAGAAGGTATGTGGGTCCCTAGGACTTTACGAACCATTTCCTCTCACTGACAAAGCGTCAACACAGGACAGACAAGCTGGCTTGGTGAGGTCCAGAGGTGGCTGTGTCCTCCCCATGGCCAACCCGGGGCTGGCCACTGAGCCTACATCACAGACTCCTGCAGAAAGAGATCTGAGACATTGCACCCGCTCTGCACCCGAAAGCAGAAGTGATTGGCTCTTCCAGCCAGGGCAAAGCCCCGGCCTGTGTGCCTGTCTACATGTGTGTCAGGAAAAACGAGAAATCGTTTGCTCTGAATGGCAGCCCATCTCAGCCTACGAAGCGCCCCGAGAGAAGCCGTCCCAGCTGGGCGAGGCACTGTGGGCTTGCTTGTTAAAGACCAGCTGTGAGGAGCACCATGCGGATGTGCTGTAGCACCGTGACTCGTCAGTGTTCCGGGTGGGCGTGCGGCGCAGGGGCTCCTGCCTGCTCAGCAAGCAGAAGGTGGGATTGCGCTCGAGGAGGCTCTGCTAGCCGTGCGGTAGTGCAGGTCCCCGGACAGGGCTCTCAGCTGTGGCAATGGCCAGCAGCACGGCGGACGGTCTGAGAATGAGGCTCTGCCCAGTGCCTGTCCTCACGCCCTGCTGGATGGGCTCCCCTGGCAGGGGCCCTGCAGACCCAGTCTCTCAGCGAGTTCCAGGCCTCCCATTGGGTGGCAGTAGCTCCGTGAAGGTGCACACACCACCACACTCCTCGTGCTGTTCCCGGGAGAACCCGAGCTTGGTTAATGGGGCAGTGGGCAGCTTCTGGCCTGGGCATGAGGAGTGGGCTCACTTCCTTAGCAGTCGTGCTGAAGAGCCACCGAGCTATGGTCTCAGGTGGGCCCGCCGCCCCGCCAGCACCCCACCCCACCCCCAACCCCCAGCCCTCTTGGACTACCGTCTCTGGGGACTGACCCCGAGTGGATTGTAACGAGCCCCATAGGGAATCGCCCCGATCCAGGGCAGGAACTGATGCTGTGCCTTGGGGTGCAAAATGTGAGCACTGGGACCTAGCCATTAGAAGACTGACGTGCAAATGGAGGCTGTGGAGGAGGGGTCCGGTGCTGCCTGTCGGGCAGCGCCCCTGAGCCTGGCCTCGCGGAGTGCAGGCAGTAGGCTGTCTGAGAGAGGCCCACGGAGGAGAGAGCCTGGCCAGCAGTTCACATAAGCTGTGGAACATTCCCTCCCCACGCTCAGGGAAAGGAGGCCGGTGGAGGTCTCAGCCATCAGCGCCCCAGGGCCCCTGGCTCCACATGGGCCACTCACCCCCACACGTTCCTAAGCTGCTGCATGACAGCTGTCATCCGCTCCATTTCCAAAGAGCACCTGAACATGTATCAGGTAGATATTAAGGTTCCACTTGGTGGCACCCTTTCTTGTTGACCAAACCTTAAAAAGCACTTATCATGAAAGCAAGCCGCAAAATCCCAAGAGAGGGAAGTCCACAACAAGAATGCAGTGTCTGGTCCCGACTGCTGTCCTGTCCATCTGCCCCGCAGGCCTCAGCGTGGACCGACCCTGTGCCAGAGCCATGAAGGTCGACTGCCCGTACCCGCTGTCCCAGATCACGGCCCGCAGCAGCGTGGTGTGGGCCCTGACGGAGCAGCGGTCTCTGCTCTACCGAGAGGGCGTGAGCAGCTTCTGCCCTGAGGGCGAGCAGTGGAAGTGTGACATCATCAGGTAGCCCCAGGGACGGCAGGGCCACCCTCTACTTCGCGTTGGGTACAACAGGACTCCCCTTTGCAGCGGTCTCTGCTCTACCGAGAGGGCGTGAGCAGCTTCTGCCCTGAGGGTGAGCAGTGGAAGTGTGACATCATCAGGTAGCCCCAGGGACGGCAGGGCCACCCTCTACTTCGCGTTGGGTACAACAGGACTCCCCTTTCCAGGAAAGCTGGTCCCTGGAGAACAGCCAGCCCTGAAGCTCTTCTGTGTGCCCCTTGGCCCAGGCTGTTGGGTGGGCTGGTGCCGCATTGAAGTTAGATGGCCTCGGATCTCCTGGTCACCGACCACCCCATCAGGAGCTGCCACCACTGGGCGTTTTCTGCTCAGAACCCAGGCTCTTGTCAGGTCACATAATTTTCTGTACTTTGATCCTGTCAATTGAAAGGGGCTATAATTTATCGGGTCCCTTTTAACATTTGAAATTATACTTACAGAATCATCTAGGCAGTATGAACAGTCCTTAGAAGAACTGGATGAGGAGACTCTTGGTTTGAGTTTAGTGATCCAGAGGCCGTTAGTGAGTACCAGTGGGTGTCAGAGCCCCCAGCATGCTCAGCCACTAACAGAAAGCTTGGAGCTCGGAGTTCGCCCAGAGACACTGGGTAGAAAGATCTGGTGATCTGTTTTTAAAAATCAGCGCCTGAGAACGCTCTTGGAGCACAGTCCTTTGCAGCGCTCGCTCGTGGGGGCGCTGTGAGCCGGAGTCAACACGCTGAGGTTTCGGGTTTCTTCGCGCGGCCAGGCTTGGCTGGGAACACAGGGATGACTGGGTCACAACCCAGCGGGACCGGGAGGTCATCAATGTCGGCTGGTAGACATGTTCCACACACTCACGGCTGCAGCGTGCATCCTGGCCCCCCAGGGACAGGGACAGGCTGAGGCAGACCCTTCCCAGCCCAGGGCAGCATCCTCGGGCCATGGCTGCAGAAGGGCCAGGCACACTGGGCACTGGGAGCCCTTCACCTGTGAAGGAGGAGCTCGGTCACCTTCTGAAGCGCCGTCCTCACAGAGGCTCCTCCCCATTAAGATGACTGATGTTGCTCAGTAATTCAGCTCCAGCCTCCTCTTCAGAAATGAGGCCGAGCACCCTTTTTTTAAATTATGTGTACGTGTGGAGGGGGGGAGTAGGGTCCTCTTGCCGCAGCATCCATGCCAGGTGCTCCCAGGGTGGCTGGGTGCTGACCTTCTTTCTCTCTTGCAGTGAGAGGCAGGCGTTGGAGCCTGTGTGCATCGCCCTCGGGGACCAGCAGACACTCTGGGCCCTGGATACCCACGGAAACCTGTGGTTCCGAACTGGCGTGGTTCCCAAGAAGCCACAGGGGGATGACAACCATTGGTGGCAAGTAGGCATTCTGCTGCTCCCTCGGCCCCTCCCAGCCCCTAGTAGGTGATTAGAGTGGTTGGTGAAGTGAAGACACCCGCCCCCACTCCTGCCGTACATCTCCCGGGCACCAGGTGGCAGTGGGTGACAAGTCCCCAGCCTGCCTCACCACGGCCCTCTGGGCTTCAGGAGGCAGCCGAGGTTCTTGGTGTTACTGAGAAGTTTATCATCAGATGAAAAATAAACCCAGCAGCATCCATCTGAAGACCTCAGTAATCATGATGTCTAATTCTGAACAAACATGCTTAAAAAAGACACTAGACAATAGGTTTAAAATCCTAACCCACAATTAAAGCCGTGTCTCTGCTTGTCGGAAAGCCCTCTGAGTAAACGGTGTTGCAACGAAGAGAGCGGTTCCGACGAGCTCCCAGAAAGGGACACGCCCGGAGCGCGCGGAGGCTGCGATCAAGACCTTCCTGACATGAGCAAGAGCGCACGCCCTGGAAACAGGGCCTGTGCTTCTGAAGGTCCCTCTGATTGGAGCGCTGAGACGGGTATGGGGAAGCCCCGCAGGGGCAGCTCAGGCTCCCAGCCGGGCTGCTGCTGCCCTTGGCCTGGCCTCGTGAGTGCTCTCCACCTTGAGGTCAGATGGCACATGGCCCCCTCCTCGTAAGACCTGTTTCCTTTCCTCCAGATGTGGAGGCCGCACACTGTGTCCTGGGTCCGTGGGAGCAAAATGCACCTTCCTCTGTGATTAGAATGAAAGGGGGGGTGGGGGGGCGGGGCGGTGATATTTAATCCCACACGACGTGGGCTGGGGTGAGTAACGGAAACAGGTACTAAAGAAGTGACCGTTTCCTTCCATCCTGCACACTGGATCTTTGGCAGTGCTAGATGCCTGGCAGGGTGACAGTGTCCTAGCAGTAGTCCTGTTTCAACCTTACACAAACCTGTGTGCTTGCGCGTGTTTGTGCGAGGGAGTGGCCAGGAGTCTGGCCACCTGGGCCTGGACAGTCAGCAGTGTGGCGGTAGCCGGACCCAACCACGAGGGTCACGCTGAGGGCTGCTCTCACCCCCATCCCCACCCCCACAGGTGAGCATCACAGACTACGTGGTGTTTGACCAGGGCAGCCTGTTCCAGACCATCGTCCATGCCACGCACTCAGTAGCCACCGCGGCACAGGCCCCCGTCGAGAAGGTGGCCGATAAGTTGCGCATGGCGTTCTGGTCTCAGCAGCTCCAGTGCCAGCCCAGCCTCCTGGGCATCAACGCCTGCGGCGTCTGGCTGTCCTCGGGCCGCAACGAGCTCCACGTCGCCAAAGGCAGCCTCGTCGGTGGGTGGTGTGTGTGTGTGCTGCTCCCCGCATGCGGGCATGAGAGCTCTCCAAGCCCAGCAGGGCCGGGACAGCACGGGACTGTCCCTCAGGGTTCCAAGGCTGTCGTCTTTGCAGAAGCAGGCGGCCACCTCTTTCTCCCACCTCTTTCTCTCAGGAGAGGGAGTGAGCAGCCAAGTGCTTAAGCACTGTGCCACCAGGGCGCCTTAGGAGTGCACCCTCTGAGGTAGTCAGGAGCCAGGAGCAGGAATCTTGGTCAGTGCGGCTTTGCAGTCAGTTTGACTCTGTTTTCAGAGATGACGTCTCAGCTTGTGCCTCTTCTGTCTGCTCTGAACTATTGTGGTAAAGATATCAGTAACAAAGCCTTTGCCGTGTGGACCTTCAGCACAGGCACGGATGATTCGGGAATGTGAACCAAGTGCGCATCACTTTTTATGGCTCTGACCGTCCCAGTGTTGGGATGGCGTGTGGGCCGGCCGTGGTTTAGGGAGAACACTCACAGATTCACAGTGTGTCAGTCTGGGTGGACTAGAGAAACAAATCCTGAGACACTCATCTGTGTGTGAGAGAACTTTATCAAAGAGTAATTGTACATTAAGAAAACATCCCGGCCCAGTCCAGATCAAATCCGTAAGTCCAATATTAGCCCACATGTCCAATACCAATCTGCAAGTTCCTCTTCAGACTCACGCAACACATGCCCTGACACCGAGTGCAGGAAGATCACAGGCCAGTGGGTGGAAAGTCTTATGGATCCAGTGGCAGTGGAAGCATCTCAGTGCTGGCAGGGGTCTCCACATGGTTCCTCCAGCTCCAGGGCTCCAATGTAGCTCCAAGTGTCTTGTCAACAGGAATGTCTCTCGGGGAGTGTATCTGTGTCCTGCCTCCAGTGAGCTATTTATCTCCTTAGTGCCTCCAAATGAGGTTATCAAGCTGGGACCTGATTGACAGACTAAACTCCATCCCTTCACTCTTACTAATCTCAAATCGGCACCGGATTACTTAACTACCACAACATATCATGAGAACTCCATCTCTCCTCCCCTCCCCCCATCCCAAAGCCAAAAGCCTTTTAAAGGCCCTGGTGAGAAATGAGGAAGCCGGTGGCACAGGAGGTTAGGCCTTGGCTGGTCACCAAAAGGTTGGGGGTTGGAGCTCGCCAGTTGCTCTTTGGCAGAAAGACGAGGCTTTGCCCACATAGAATGCCAGCCTCGGAGGCCCTTGGAAACAGCCCTGCCCTGTCTTGGGAGGTGTAGGGAGGGTGTACCCACAAGTCAGAATTGACCCAGTGTGTGTGTGTGTGTGTGTGTGTGTGTGTGTGTGTGTGTGTTGAGGAGGAAGGGTTGTTAACTAGAGAGCCCTTATGTCTGAGAGAGAGAAAGATTATCAGTGTTGACTGTGGACCTGAGCCCTGGTGGCACTTAAACTCACAGGGACCCTGTAGGACAGGGTGGGGCTGCCCCTGTGGGTTTCGGAGACTCACTGTCTTAAGGGAGCAGAAGCCTTGTCTTTCTCCCCTGCAGAGGGGTTTCGAACTGCTGACCATGCAGTGGCAGCCCGCAGCATAACCACTGTGCCACTCTGGCTCCTCCAGGTGGCACAGTGGTGGTATCTAAGGTGAGTCAGAATGGACACATAAACGGGGGGTTGGGTTGAAGAGGTAAGGAAGAGTCTGGTGGATCTCTGAGGATGCGTAAATTCCCAAAGGCAGGCGGTGTCCTGCCCCGCCCCCACCAGGGCAGGATAGTGGCGCTGCATGATGGCCACAAGGGAGAAATGGGAAGTGGCCGCCCCTCTTTGTGGTTATCTCCTAACACAAAGACTAGAACTCACCATAAAGTGGCACAGTTTGCACATGGGTGCTAACCAGAAGGCTAGTGGTGTGGCATTTTCTGTGAAGAGTAAGGCCAAGAATTGGTGGGGGGGGGGGGGGCTCTACTAACACGGGGCGGCTAGGTGGAATCGGAGCCGCACAGCAGCAGCACACTGGGCTTGAAGACCAGCTGTGATCTAGAGGTGGGGCCATGGGATGGGCGTTGATGGTGCGTTCTTTCTTTCTTTCTTTCTTTCTCCCTGCTTCTTCTCTCTAGGCACTTACTGGAGTAACGTCGTTCCCCGAGGGACCGCTTCTGCCACCAAATGGGCCTTTGTGCTGGCCTCTGCAGCTCCCTCGAAAGAAGGTTGGTTGAGAAATGTGGAAAAGTTAAAACCACAACCTTCTGGTGACGGTGGGTGGGTGTGACTGCGTATGGTGTCGTGGCAAGAGCCCCCAGAGCTGGGTGTCCCTCTGAGCCAGGGCCCTAGCAGCTGCCCATTCCTCTCTTCTGTGGGCCCTCTGGTGACCTCCGACCTTTACCTTTGGGTGAGCAATCAAGTGTGCTGTAGATTCCCCACCTAGGAATGCCCAAGGCAGCGCAGCCACCTCCACAGACCCTGGGCGCCCTGCCACCTGCCCACTAAAGAGTAACAGCCTTGGGTTGGCTGCTGTAGTGACCAGTCACGGTGTTGCCCTGACGGCTCATGTCAGCCCATGGTGGGGCCAGGCCGAGGGCCCTGTGTGTTGTGGGCAGTGTCACCGACACCCCGCACCCCACCACCTTTCCCACAGGAAGCTCCCTGTGGCTGTGCCAAAGCAGTGAGGACCTGTGCCGAGCCAGCACCCAGAGCGCCCAGGCCCGGCCCTGCACTGTGCAGCTCCCCCCCGAGGCTGAGATGAAGGCCTATGCCGCCTGCCAGGACGCACTGTGGGCACTGGACAGCCTCGGGCAAGTGTTCATCAGGACGCTGTCCCGGAGCTGCCCCACAGGGATGCACTGGACTCGGCTGGACCTGTCCCAGCTAGGTACGGCGTCCTCACGTTGGTCCTCCCTCACACGGGCTCTCTTAAGCTGGAACTGCTGGGGGTCTCCAAGATTGCTGCCGCCTTTGGGGTGGATCAGCCTTGCCCCTTCACCACATCACTCTCCCCTTGCCCAGTAATGCTGTTCTGCTGTGTCCCAAAGTGCTCAGCCCCGCACCCCAACTGCACTCTGAACACGTCTGATTGTGTCATTTTGGTGAGGCCCTGTACCTGCAGTAGGGGCTGTGTCTGAGCTTGTCATTTCCCGTAGATGTCTGCACAGGTACAGGCTGCACCTGTTGTTTTGTGAGACGTCTGCTGCACATGGGCGTGGGTTCTGTCTGCTTGTGTCACTTCCGTTTTCGTGAGTCTGCACATGGGTGTGGGGTTGTACGTGATTGTGTCGTTCTCCCGAGGCATCTGTACACACCGGTCAGGCCTGAGTCTGGCTTTGTAATTTTCCTGAGGGAGTTACACACACGAGTGCAGGGCTACGCCTGACTGTCGCTTTCACAAGATGTCTGGACACAAGTGCCAGGCGGTGTGGGTGGACCACCCACTGGGCCCCATGCCCAACAGAAAAGGGGAACTGTCGGGGAACGTTAGTGTTACCCAGAACCCCACTTTTAAGCAGTGCTGGGGAGCGAGTTCCCAGTCTGTGGGGCCTGTCGCTGATCATCCAAATCCAACTTTCTGGCATGGAACCAGATGTGACTCCCCTGGTCCGTGCGAGAGCTGAGCTCCCCTCGCCTCCGGGGCCAGCCCTGAGGAGTGGGCTCCTAGGTGCAGTTGGAGGGATGGGCTGTGCGTCTCTCCTCCTCAGCGGTCTTGTCTCTGCACATGTCTGACCTCAGACAGAACGATGCCATCTTCCTTGCCCTGCACGTGCTCTGCATGGCCGCCATGCTGGAGGCACCAGGTGCTGGTAAGGTCTGGCATGTTGCCGGCTTCAGGGTTAGCAGCGACGTGGTAAATGTCCAGTTATGAACGCGGTAAGCCCAAGTCTCCCTGTCCCACTAAACCACCAGTTTCATGGCTGCTTTTAGATGAGACCGGGGAGTTCCAGAATGAAATGGCCACCCTTAGCCCTGAGCCGGAGGCTGAGCTCCCAGGGTCGCCGTGATTATGGCAGGCCTGGCTCTTTGGAAGGAATCTGCATGGCTTCACAGAGATCGAAGAAGCTTACCAGTATGTCCTTTCCCGTTCACATACACGTGCGTTATGTCAGCCACCGGACGTGTAGCAAACTAATGTAATGGGTACTTTAATTCTCCTGGTCACAGCGTGTAAGGACGAAACAGTCAGTGTCGCTTGATGCCTATAGATATGATGCACGTGGAGAAGTGTTTTCGGACTAGAACACCAGATAGAGACCGCTGTTCGGGTTGGAAAATAAGTGTTTACAGATAACCTGAAGGGGAAAATGCCTGCCTGTGGAACAGAGTTGTTAACGACCTTTTCTTTTTGTTTTTTCTAACGGGAGGGGACAAAAACAGAAAGGCATGGGGCCATGTGGTAAACTCTCCCCAGAGCTCAGAGGCCCAGATGAGAACAGTTGGTGTCCTGCTCACGTGAGTCGGCACTCTGTCCATCTGGTCAGTGCCAGCCTGGCCACCTGCTCTGCGCCACCACCACCACGGTCACATGCAACACCTCTTGGCACTGTGAGGTTCCCATTGACAAGTGACAGGTCACTTCCACTCCAGCCCACAGGCCCACAGGGAACACAAGAGGCGATGTCCACTACCACCTTGGCCATCCTCTCTGCCTCAAGTACCCCGTGCATCAAGTGGCCGGATGGAGACCCTACTCTACCTCTGACCATCTGTCCAGCTCAGGTGACCCATGGACATCTGTGTTCTGGCAGCTTGTGAGAACTCTTAACTGATACCTTGAGCGCCATGTTCTTCTGAACCTGACATGGGAAGGCCACCTGATGACTTTTGAGACCTGCGGGCTGTCAGCCGTCAGCTCTGAGCAGGTTAGGGCTCCAACAGGAGATAATGCATTTCATTAGCTTGGTTTCTCGGCTCTTTCTAGAATCCATCATGGAAGGCCATTTCTTTTGGTTGGTGCAGATCTCTTCATTTGCCTGGTTAGAGTTGCAGGGGTCCGTAAAGCCCCTGGAGAGGCCACTTTGGGAATGATTACAGGAGGAAAGCACCCCCCACCCCCTGGAGGGTCTGAGCATCAGGGAGCACTTGCCTTGTCAGAGCATAGGGAGACTGAGCACTCGTTTGTGTGGGTGCTGAGTTGAGAGTTTTAGGTTGACGTCAAAGCTGAAGGCACAAGACGAGATGTCCACACAGCACAGTCCCTGGGGCCGAGTGTCACCTGATGCCCGTGGCAGCTGTGAGCCATGGCCGGAAGCCATGCCGCCTGCCTCTCAGGCGCTCAGACCCGCTTCTCACACCATACTCAGGCAGTGCCCCGCCACTGCCCCACTCAGAATTCAGCGTGGTAGTCAGAGTGAAACTCTCCAGCTCACCCACAGACACTGCTGGCGTGAAAAAGTGAGCCACAGGCAGAGGGAAAGAGTCCGAGGTCACACACAAGGGCTTCGGGAAGTTCTTGAGGAAAATGGAAGCAAGAGGCATTGGAGTTTTCCAAGACTCCCAGCCACCCTCCCACCTGCCAACCGATGTGGGTGCAGACTGTGCAGGGCTGCTCACTGGACTGCTAAGCACAAGGTCAACAGTTAGAACCCACCCACTGCTGCCGGGGAGAAAGTCGAGGCTTGCTGCTGCCATACAGAGATGCGGTCAGGGAAGCCCCCAGGGACAGTCCTCCTCTGTCCTAGAGGGTTACTGTGAGTCGCCCTCGACGCGGCGACAGTGAGTTGAGTTTTGAGTTACTTGTACAAGCAGGCATGGAATGCCATGTATGGGTTTGTGCGCAGTGAAAAGGCAGGCAGGTGACAGCTGCTGGACAGCTCCTTGACAGCACCTCCTTCATGGCTGGCAGCACGGTGGAGCCCACTCGCTTTCTTGCTGCCACCTGGCCCGCCGTTCCAAAAAGCCGTCCTGCGTTGTGTCCTGGGGCACCGGACTGAAGGGCTTCCCCCCACCTCTTTGTGGAAGTAGACTGCCAGGAATGTTCCCATAGTCTTCATCCGGAAACTCAGCAGAAACAGGCCCACCACGGGTGGCCCTGCTCAGACAAGGGGGCTTCCAAAGGCTCATGGGAAAATCTCATCCTCATCCCATTTTCCCCACCAACTCTGAAGGCCCTCCCACTGGAAACACTGGTGGCCTGGCTTCTGCAGTTCCGTGCCACAGTACAGCCAGGTGTCAGACAGTGGTCGGGCAGTTTGAGGCTCAGCAGTCAACTATGGGATGGTGACTCCATGGGCGGATCTCTCCCACATCACTCACTCACTGCCACCGAGTCAGTGGTGACCCCTAGCCCCACTCCCTGTGGGATTCTGAGACTATTAACTGCTAACGGGAGTAGAAAGCCCAGTGGAGCTTTCTCCTGAGCAGCTGCTGCTGGTTTCAAACTGCTGACCGTGTGGATCACAGCCCAATTCAGAACCACGACACCCCCAGGGCTCCTTGTCACCCACATTAGAACAGGTGAAGGACCTGATGCTTCTGTGACACTGGAGAGTGGGCAGAGCAGGTCTCTTCCCCTAGGTGAGAGGCATTAACCAGAAGGGGCTGAGCTGGTGTAGAAGTACTGTTGGTCAGGGTCTGATTTCCCAAGACATTTCAGATCTGTGTTGCTGACTCAAACCTCAGTCCCACCCTCCTTTCTCCTGGCTCACCTTGACCTGTTGCTCCGGGGTCTCCGTGTCAGAGCCTCGGGCTGTCCTGTAAAGACGACCGGTTCCACCTCTCGGCCACCCCCTCCCCGTCAGGGTAGAAGTGTGCTCTCTGTGTCTGCAGCGGCTGCTTTTCCCCAGCGGATAACCAGGCCTTTCTTCTGAGGTCCCGCTGGGTGGGTGCACAGCTCCCGACATACCTGAATATCTCCCCACGGAAGGTGAAAATTCGCACCCTCTGTGAAAGCCATCTGTGAGGAAAGCGTGTGAAACTTCACTACAGATCCACACATAAGCACAAGTCAGTCTGTGCTTGCCTGGCCTACGGCACCCTCACTGCTGTGAAGGCTGGCATGTTGGGAAGCAGCTCTGACTGTAGGGAAGTGCTGTGGGGTCAGGAGAGAGACAGGCACCCGCCGGACCAAGAGGCAGAGTCTTTGATGTGCAGAAAGAATGTCAAATTGCTCCTATGGATTCTAGGATTCTACGCTCAAGGCAGCCCATGGGCGCCTCGTGTTTGAAGCAGGGTCAGGCAGCTATCCAGCGTTTAATGAAGCTAGAAATGAGGACAGCTGAACCGGCCGTGCCCAGCCGCCCATGACCACTGGCTGTCACCTTGTTGCTAGGTAAACTGCTGCCAAATGTAATTCCTTATTAAAGCCATTGCCCGATTCCTTTTCCTTTGCAACGAAGACTTCTTAGTGAGCTTCCCTGCCTTCAGCTCACGGCACCCTGTAGGAAAGGGTAGAGCTGCCCCCTTTGAGTTCCTGGGACTAGAAAGCCCTGTGTTTCTCATGAGGAGTGGCTGCTGGTTTTGACAACGGACCTTACGGATTGCAGCCCAAGGCATAACCGCTATGCCACCAGAGCTCCGTCTAGGGAGGCTTTGCTAGTTCATCTTAATTCTAACGAGGATCAAAGTTTACACGCAGTCCTGCTCCCCCAGTACCAAATTTGCTGCCAGTAGCCATGTGTCTGATGAAGCTAGAGGTGGGACTCACATCCGGATCTTTGACCCGGAGCCAGAAGTTCAGGTCCTGTGCCTCTAGCCTAGGAGGGCCCAGGCAGGAGAGGCCTTCAAGTACCCCATGTCTGCCTGAACCCAGCCAAGTCTGCCCTCCTGTGTAGATGGCACGCTGGTGCCCGAGGGCCTCTGACGTTGTGAGAAGGAGATAGTTCCTGTGAGGCAGAGAACAGCCATGACGTCACCTCTCTACCTTGGTACCGTTTCTGATACCAGCTGTCCCCTCCCATAGCACTCTGCTTCTCTGATGGGTTTGATAATCCATTGCAACCACCACACAGAACTCCCAGACCATACAGGCATGGGGTTTACTAAGGAAGTAAGACTACAATATTCAGTATCAGGAACGATGTAGGACACAATTCTTCGGTCAGGACAGATTCTCAGCTGTGTTTGCAGGCAGGGCTCTCTACTCCTTGGCCCTCCACCTGGCCTCTGCTGTGACCTGGCAGGTGTTACACAGCTCATTAGCTCTACTAGTAAGCGCCCAGAGGTACCTTCACGCCACTGGTACGGCTCCTGCCCAGAGGCTCTCAATAGCCTCACTCCAGGAATTGGTGGAGCCCACTGTGCTTTGTGCACCAGGAAACCCACTGTGCCACCTAGTCTTGCCCTCTTGGTTCTACCGTTGCCAGTCTTTTGCTGCACCTGCTACTGCTTCTCACCATCTCTTGCTCTCTGGTGTTACAGCACTCTGTCTGGCTCCCGAGTCTAGGAGGTTCTCAGCATAGGACCCCCGTTTCAAAGGACATGCCCTGCTTCTGGCTTTTCTTTTTTGGTGACAGTAAAATCCTCAGCTCTGGGATGGCTTATTTTAAGCCTTGCAGGATGGCAAACTGACCAATCTCTTCATTAGAGGTCCATACACTTTATTTGCATGTTCCTACCCCACAGTGTTTTATCTGCCATACTTGCATTATTAGCAATGCTGTCCAATCACCTTAGTGGGCCACAGTCACCTTATTTATTTGCATTAGGCTCACCCAGCCGTTTTGTAGGCGTCACAAGACCATGGCAAGAACCCTGTAAAAGTGATTCATCGCCCCACAACAAGCGTTCACCCACCCCACTCCGCCCCATGCTGTCCCCTCATTCCCTCTGAAGGGCAGAATCGGGTGGCGGGTGAAGGTTAGTTCTTTCACGCGTGTTATGGTGTGTGCTTCTCCTCTGTCTACAGGAGCTGTGAAGCTGACCAGCTTGGCCTGTGGAAATCAGCACATCTGGGCCTGTGACTCCAGGGGGCACGTTTACTTTCGCGTCGGAACCCAGCCTCTTAACCCCAGTCTGATGCTTCCTGCCTGGATAGCTATTGAGCCACCTGCCCAGGTAGGAAGTTCGCTGAGAGGGTCTTGCCCTGCAGGAAGGCGCCAGTTGTCAGATGCTGCAATTGGGAACCAGGCGCCCGGCATGTTACACTGTTACTCGGGCTGGCACGGGGCTGGGGGAGGCCTGCCCCGACAATACACACCCAGCAGGCGGGGACCTGGGGGAGCCAGACAGTTCTTCAAAGGTCATCTGTGCCAACACGGGAATGAAAATACTCCTCCTCAGAGTTTTTAAAAAGAAAATCAAATACTATCCCAAAGCACAGCCACCCCGCAGTGTCTGCAGGGGATTGGCTCCAGGGTCTTTCCCCTACCACCCACCCCCAAGCAAGATTCCCTGAGGCTCAAGCCCTCCTTTCTATACAATGCTGCTGCATTTGCAGATTACACTCACTCTCACTCATAAATCATCGCTAGATCACGCACTATACAGAATATACTGCCTGTCACGATGCAACTGTAAATTGCTGACATCACTCCCTCTCTGCCTTTGAGTGGTTGCTGCACCTGGTAACTGCTCCCACCCGCCCCTGATTTCACTGTATAAAGGGGAAAGTGAAGGTATTATAAACCCCTGTAATCAGAGGGGATGAAGGCTGTCAGCATTTCCTGTGTGTCTTTCCTGGTTTGTGGAACATATGCTACTTCTTGTCTGCCCTGCCCCAGCCCCCGCCATGCCACAAGTCGGATCTGGGTCTGCCGTGCAGTCAGTTGCTACAGGAACAGTTGGGTCGGGCCCCCTTGCTGAGCGTGATTCTACGAGTGTCATGAGGGGCTCACACACTGAGCACTCTGCTCCAGCTCCTGCCCATCAACTGTGTGATGGCGCCGCGGCAGGCGTGGCGAGTCCTGAGCAGTGAACCCCTGCAGGAGGGGGTGGTCAGGGCTGGGTCAGTGCCTACGTTTAACATAGCCGTTTGGGGTGGCACAGCCAGCAGGGATTAGAACAATGAGTAGAGAGGCACAGGGTGCAGGGCTAGTCATGGGATGGGGACGGGACCCAAGAACTGAAGTCAGCTGTCTGACCGCTTGGTGTGCTGGTCCTGACCACTACCATGCCCTCACTGGGTAGGGCCTTCCTCCCTGGCAGGGTCATCCAGAGTGATGAGGAATGAGCTCTCTGAGGGCACCGTGTGGATTAGAACTGATGGGGCTCCATCCCGCTGCCCCAGGAGTGCCCGATGCGGGCGGTGGGCATGGCAGTGCTGTGTAGGGACCCAGAGAAGCAAGCTGGCTGCCGGTGGGTTTTAATGTGTTCCCTCCAGACAACTCCTCTTCTTCGTGCCTGCCCCCAGGTCAACTCCTGAGCCAGTCGTTTTCAGATTGCTCGTTGCCATCGTATAGCAATACCTTGGAATGTGTATGCGGAACCGAATTAGGCGTTTGGGAGGGATTTGGGGTGGGCTGGGGGGGTGGATTTCATAAGCTCTGTTCCATAGCTCTTCTCACTTGCAATGAGAGAGCCGTATGCATCCTCCTTTCCAATCTAGATGTCCTGACTGCATCTTCTCGCCTGAGAGCCCCGACCCTGACCCTGACCCTCCAGTGTAATATTGAGCCAAAGTGGCAAGAACGGGCATCTCTGTGCTGTTCCTGGCATCCAGGCCTCTTCATTGAGTTGGACATTAGCTGTGGGTTTTCACAGCCGCCATTTGTCAGGCTGAGGAAGCTTCCTGCTGGCCCCGGCTTGCAGGTTTTTTCATGACAGGCCCTTGGAGTTTATCAGATGCTGCTGCGGTCAGTATGGCCCCGTGGTTTGGGCTCTGGCTTCTAGTCAGGTGGTCATCTAATGTTAAATCTGCCTTGCAGGGTGGTAGCCCCCCTCTCCGGTGACAGTCATTCTTCAGTGTGTTGCAGGATTCTGTTAATAAGGTGGTTTGGGTTATGTGGGGATTTTTGTGGGTGTATTGAGTGATACTGATCGGCAGCAATTTTTCCCCCTGTGAAATCTTTGTCTGGTTTCGCTGTCAGGGCAGGGGCCTAGCAGAGTGAACTGGGGGTGTCCCCTCCTCCTAGGTTTCTGGAATTGTTGAGGTGGGATTGGTGTTACCCGGGCCTCAGTATTCGGTTGAACTCTGGAAGTTTGTGCTTCTTTTAGTGACTGGTTCGTTCTTCTTATGTATTATAACTCTGCTCAGCCCGTTCCCATAGTCGGTCTTCCTGGGACTCTGTTCTCAGGCTATCTAATTTCCCAGTGCGTGGCTGTTCACAGCATTCCACGATCACCCTTCTTGTTTCTGTTAGCTCCATAGTGATAGCCCCTTTCTCATCTGAGATGTTTAGCGATTCCAGTCATCTTTTTCTTGACTGTTTTAGCTCAAGATTGACCAAGCTTGGGCCCTTTTGTAGAGCCAGCTGTAGGGTTGTAGGGTCACTGTTGTCCATTCATGCCCCCGCTGTTCCTTACGTCCCTGCGAGGTGCTGGTCTTGACAGTGCTTTTCCTCTGATGGCTCTCAGTGCTTTGTCCTGCAGGGACACTGGACAATGGGGACGTGTGATTCCCCAGTGTGGGCCACAGCATGGGCAATAGACTGAGCACACTGTGCCCACCTCCCCCATTTTCCATCAAGCCAAGGCCAGGGCCTGCTGGGTGGGCTCAGGCAGCAAGAACCTGGAAGGGGGCCTGAGCCAGCAGCCCTCCTCTGCATCTGTGGGAGCCTCTGAACAGCAGCTGGGCCCTCAGGCCCCTGATCAAGCAGTAGAATTATGTCCAGGATCGGAGGAATTGTTGGGCGGGGGGCGGGGGGCATCACCTAGAGTCTGCTGGTGACAAGAAGATGGCCAAAGTAGAACAGCTTCCCCGGCACTGTGCTCGCCCACTGGGCTGCTGAGCAGGGGAGGGCTGTGGGAGGGAGCCCTGGTGGCCAGCCAGGCTGGGCCCTGCCCCGCTGGCGTGCTGACCGAGGAGGAGCACACTGCCGGCTCCCATGCGGGAAGCACAGGCCTCTACACCGCCCACCCGCCACCCCTTCTTACCCCAGAGATGGAGGGCAAGGGTCTCCCCTCTCACTTCTTACCCCAAGGTGAGATGACAGTCAGGGGGCCTCCCCACTATTTTCCTGCCCCCAAGGTGAAGACGGGGTCCTCCCCTCTTAGCAGAGGAAACATTTCACTCAACAGCAACACAGCTTAGCCTGGGTTCTAGGCCACTGACACCTCCACCCCCACCCAGGCCCAGTGCCTGGGATTGGCAAGGGCCCACATGTGCCCCGGCAGAGCCGCACCTGGGTGGGGCCTGTGCTGAAAGCTCCCAGCCCCCTGACATTGCCATGCCCCACTGCCAGCTCACGGTAGGGAGTGCAAATAGGGTGTAAACCGGTGGGTGGCACCCCCTAGGCACCTCTTGGAGCTCTGAGGACCAGTGCCTGGGGAAACACTGACCTCAAGAGCCAGAGGGGGGGGGGGGCGGAAAGAGCCAGAGGGAGCTCCACTAGGCCACGTCACACGCCACACAGGTTCCTGCGGCTGGGAACGGGAGGGAGTGGAGCTGCGCAGGAGGAGGTGGGGAGCAGGGAGATTGAGTTGCATCCTGGGTTAAAAGTACTGGGCTTGGCATCACATGGTCCCCAGCTACTACTGCCCACAGGCTTGAGCAAAGGCCGCAGGATGGGCTGAAATGAGAGCAAGTGGGAGATGTTCACACCCAAGGGCACGTGAGGTGAAGCCCCGCAGTGGTTTAAAACTAGCTACCGTGGCTTCCCATTCCGTTTTCATAAACCTCCCTCTCCGGTAGTTCTCAGGAGCCCAGTGGCACAGTGGGTCCGTGCCCGGCTGCTGACTGACAGTTCACACCCACCAGCTGCTCCTCTGGAGGGGACCTGAACGGGCCATCTGCTTCCCCACAGCGGGGCATTCGTTCTGCGCCCTGCGGGCCCGATGAGGTAGAGTCCGTGCAGTGGCTTGGGGGTGGGGTGGGGGTGGGGGTGGGGGGCTGGGTGTGATTTAGGTTAGGGTTTCATAGTAATTAGGGAGGGAATTTTTAACAAAGTACTCAAAACAAATGACTCGGTGTTCAGACTGCTAACGTTTTGGAAGGCTTCGGAGCAAATATTTATAGTTGTCTTTTGCATCTGAGAGTGTGGAGCTTCTGCTGCGAGAATATCTGTCCAGAGTGGAGATGCCGCTACATGCCCTGGGCCTGTGCTGGTCCTGGTACCATGGCTGCGTGGTGGGCTGGGCCACCCAGGGGTCGGAGCCCTGGCCTAGGCTGGGCAAGCACACCCCGGAGGAGGGCAGTCGTGCTTCCCCCAGCTTGGGCTGCACCCCGTCTCCCTTTGTGCACCCCCAATCTCTGGAATAGGCCCTGCCCCTCTTCAGCCTCAAGGGCTCGGGCAGAGTGCTCAGAGCCCCAGCCAATGAGACAGACGCCAGGGAAACGTAGGCAAACGGCCCAACCTAATTGTTTAAGCGTATGGTTTCTGGGTTGGTTGGTTGGTTCTCTGTTTCCGTTGCCTTGGGTGTTTTGGCTCGATGAACAGTAAGGACTAACAGTGCTGAAGCACGAGGCCAGGTGGGCGACGGGGTGGTGGGTGGCACTGGGGTGAATGCCAGCGCTTGCTCTCAGATTCAGCCTCTGGACAGTTGGCCCCTCATGGAGCCCTCAGGTGGAGCCAGGCTCCAGACAGTGCCAGAGAAGCCAGGCTGCCCTCATAGGGGAGGGCAGTGGGGCAGGGCAGCCGGCATCTGAGCAGCCCCATACCCCATCTGGCAGACACAGAGTGGAGGTCCACAACCCAAAGCCCAGCTCTAGAGGTCTCCCTTAACAGCCCCCTCTAAGGACTTGGGGACGGCAGACTCCTGGTGTCCACTCTGCTAGGCTCTGGGGACAGTGACATCGGACCTCCCTGAGCATTTCTCCCTCTGTCAGGGTGAAAAGGCATATTCCTCAGACATGCAGGTCTCATCACAGGTGTGGTGTCCGGCTCCAGGGAGCAGCCTGATGGACAAGAATCTCAGCTTTGTTGGAATTAAATATTGTTGATTTCGTTATTGTGGAGAGTACCCAGCAACACCTCCCCCAGCTCTCCACGTCCCATTTAGGGGAGGGGCTGCATTCTTCGAGCTCTGCAGCCCTCTCACCTGCCTCTTCTGACTTCTTCCTCCTGTGCACAGACCCCTGCCCCCGAGCCTCCAACCCTTCCAAGCTGCTTGGGTCAATTTGATCCCAAACTGGCACGGGGCACGTGCCACACGCAGCAGGCCTTCCCAGCTCAAGTGTAAACTGGTTTTTATTTGGTTTTAAGGCAGCAGGAATCACAGCTTTTTCTCAAAAGAAAGAAAAGGTTTCTGTAAACATCTTCATCTTCTGTTTAGCTCCTCTAGTTTCAAAAATCCACTGTAGTGGCTACATAGAACTCACAAATCCATGATTAAAGGATAGATTAAGGAAGTTAACAAGTTATAATACCAGTGGGGAATGCTCATGGTTGAATTGTTTACCAGGATACGTTACAAAGTTACAAAGTTGTCGAGTCTGCTTATAAATGCCCAAAGGGCATACCACTCTGCTGTAAGCCTGCCTGAGAGCATTCCACTCAGACTCTGAAGCAGCAAGCCCAGCTCCCTGCATTAACTGCTTAAAGCCACTCAGCCTCCTGCACAAATGCACTCATCTTAACCTGCTCCCTGGCTCAGGCACCATCACTGTTCCGTGCTCGGGCTCCTGGTTCTGCCGCGGCTCTTCTGATGGGGTAGCTGTCACCTGGTTCCAGGAGGTTCACTACGACACAGGGATCTCAGGTCCAGAGGACAAGCTCCATTCTTGGCTCTTGCTGGTAATGAGATCCCTCCCTGCTTCTCAAAGGGCGCATTTTATACACAACAGGATGGCACCCGAGGGACTCCTGGTCACCATTACTCACAGGTGAATCCTATCGGCATCTTCCCGCGCCTTCTTACCAGACCCATGCAGGGAAGGTCGTTCGGTTGGGACGTAGACTTTGGCTGAAGAGCCGCATGAAGGACATTCACAGCCCCTGTGGTCCCTGACTGCTTGGAGGTCTCCAGGCCGAGACAGGGTGTGACTGAGGGTCTATGAGTCAGAATCAACTTGGTATATTTTGTGATTATGTCAAAATGGGCCTATATTACTCGTGTGATAAGCAGCTTATCACGCTGAGTAATCTACTAACAATTCATGGGAAGCCAAGCCCCTCCCAAAGCTGTTCGGGGAAGCATTCATGTGGACACTTGACTAGAGTGTATTTGTAGCCCTTGTGGTGAAGAGAGCTCATTTAGCACATTAATGCAGTTACCGTGCTGGGAAGTCACGAAGGGTCGCCCATCTGAGGCCATGTAAAATCATGTTTTGGAGTACTAGTAATGAGAACAATGGGGCCGTCTGTCCGCTTAAACGCTCCTGCGCCTGGCTTCTTCAAGCGGTGCCTGTGCATCAGGAAGGGCTGCGAGGATTTAAGGAGGGGTGCGCACCCCACGGCGCCCCCTGATGTGGTGATGGTGTAGATGCAGGAGTTGGCCTTTCAGAAGCAATCAAGTTACCTTCGTTTTTCTAAACAGCCAGGCTATACTTGCAGATGAGTGGGGTGCCACGCAGACCTGGCCTCCCTGGCAACAGGCTCCCGAGGGGCAGGGCGGCGCTGCAGCGTGTGTGTACATGGACACAGATGTCTCAGGCATGTAGAACCCTTGCGATGGCTCGAATGTTCTCTCCAGTTCGTTCAGCCTGGGAAACGCTGAGCGGGCTCCTTCCCTTTGGGCGTCCAAGTCCAGGCGCTTGCTTCACAGTGCTTACTGTCTGCTGGGGCGGCCCTTGGAAGGCTCCTCCCCGCTCTCACAGCCCCTCGTTTGTGTGCTGCCGCTGCTCTAGGTTCGAGAGCCTCTTCTGACATCAGCTTTAGTCGTTTCCTGTATTGCCTGTGTTGTGTTGACAGCATTGGACTTCAGGGCAGATCCTGAAATGTTCTTTTTGATGATGAATGCCATGCCATTATCTTCAATTTGTCCTTCCTGGTTGAGAGACTGTGTCAGAATCAACTCGATGGCAGTGATTTGGTTTTTTGGTGTGTGTGTGTGCGCGCGCGTACTTACACAGAACCCTGGAAGGCTTCATGAGTTGCGTGCAGTCCTTGCATGGCAGCCAGGTGGATCCACTCGCTTATGTGCTGATGCAACAGCGAGTTAGTTGGGGGCTCCCACCCTTCCTTTTCACCGCTTGACTTTGTGTGCGTGAGGTGCCTGAAGAGACCCTGGCCTGGGCTGGGTGCACCCCAGCCTTCAAAGTCACCCCGTCAGTCTGACCTCAGCACCAGCTCTGACACGTCCTCAGTTCTCCAAACCTTCCTCCCGCAGCCCGCTGGGGTCATCTTGGTCAGCATCCACTGCAGCCCCAATGACCAGATGCTCTGGGCAGTCGACAGCAAGTGGAACGTGCACGTCCGCGTGGGCATCACCGAGGAGATGCCAGTGGGGACTGACTGGGAGCATGTGCCAGGTACCTGGAGCTCCACGGTCACATGGGAGTGCTGCCCACCTCTCAGCACTACTGCCTCTGCTCTGCCCACACCACCCAGGCGCTGACAAGTGGGCTCTTAGCTCCCAGGCCTTCCCACCCCCCCACCCCCACTCCAGCTCAGGATGTCACCCTGGGTTCCTAGAACCCTTCTGGCATGGTTGGTCCTGGCTCCTGCTCGGTCCCTTCCAGGGGGACCCAGACACCTTCAGGGGTCCCTGTCTGGGCACACAGGGTCAAAGGACGCACCGTGTCTGCCCACAGGACTACAAGCCTGTCAGCTGGCACTGAGCTCGAGGACTGTGTGGGCCCGCTGCCCCAATGGCGACCTTGCCCGGCGCTACGGAGTCACTGACAAGAACCCAGCTGGAGACTACTGGAAGAAAGTTCCTGGGAGCGCGGCGTGTGTCACAGGCAAGTGTCTGGCTCGGCAGGGGCCAGGTGGGCGCCAGGTGTCATCGGGGACTCTGTGCTCTCATTCGGGCCCCAGCCTGGGTACCCACCCCCACCCCCTAAGGGAGTCTCCAAGGACCTGAAGGCACTGAGCAGAAATAGGCACAGGGCCCGCCCCGTCCGGCTGTCGTCCCCCACCCCCCTGCCCCGCCCCAGTCCGGCTGTCGTCCCCCACCTCCCCCTGCCCCGCTAGAAAGGCTGGCCCATGGAGTGTGTGACGGCTCTCCCTCCCACAGTGACTGCTGCGGACGAGCTGTGGGCGATTGGTCCACCAGGCTGTCTCCTCCAGCGGCTGACAAAGACCTTCAGCCACTCACACGGCTCCCAGAAGGGCAGCCTGGCCACCACCACACCCCACCCTGAGGACTTCGAGGATGAGTGGGAGGTCATCTGAAGGGACCTTGGGCCCAAGCCCTCACAAGAGGAGCCAGGCTTAGGGGACAGGCCTCAGCCCCCTCGTGCAGCCAGGTTGGCCTGCCCTGCTTCCCGTCCTACTTCGTCTCCATCTTGTCCAGAACGCTCGCCTCGCTCTTGTCCAGAACGAGTGACCCTGCCCCAGGGCTGCTTCCTGAGTGCATGACAGCACCTTGCAGTCCAGTCCCTGTCATTGTGGAAGGCCCAGGCTCCCAAGGGAGCAGGTGGGGAGGAGGGGCTTACTGCCCCTACTGGCCGCTGTCAGTCCCAAGGCCTTGTGGGAGTGGGGTGAGGTGCTCAGCACCGTGCGATGCTCATCCCAGGTGGTCCATCTCCACTGGAATGAGACACAAGTTCTGGTACATTCCACGATGCTAGACTTCCACATGGTGGCTTGGGCTGCTCGTGGATGGAGAACACACCACATGGCACAAGGCAGAGCCAGGCCGCCACCTGCAGCCCGTGCTCCAAAGTGGCAGTCACAACCATGGGATGCAGATGGGGGCGTGTGGGCGCGCATTGCTGGGAGCTACGCTCGCTCCTGCCTTGGCTCTTCCAAGGGACCGCTCCATGGTGGCGGCACTGTCAGGGGACGGCACTACTGATTGCCTTTGTCTGTTACATTACAAACCCATCTGAGATACCTCATCTGAACCCTGCTCTGCCTGGTCTGCACGTGGCTTTTCTGGTATTGGGGGTCCTCTCCCACAGCCTGGGCAGCCAGGGGCTCTAGGGCTAGCAGGCTCTCCAGAGATGGCCAGCACCTTCAGTTCAGCCAACACCCTGCAATTTCTATGAGGGACCTACTGTAGTCATGTCAGGATACTGGCCCTGAGGTCAGCCTTCAGGGCCCACCTGTCATTGGCATGGGAGTCCAGTGCCACCACAGCCCCTGCCCCTCAGCACTTGTGTGTCTACAAGAGCCGCAAGACAAAGGGTCTCAGGGCCAGCAGCCAGCGGGGAGGCGGGAGGGAGCTTGGCAGGCTGTGCAGGCTAGGACACTTCCAGGTGTCACTGAGCCCCGAGCTCGGACCACAGTGCAATCCCACTCCCCTGCGTACACTTATTGTTCAGGTTGTAACTCTTAGCTGTGAGACAGTGCAATAAAGGGACTTTTCCAAGCTGGTGGTTTGCTGTTTGAGCTGAGGCAGACCCCCTGAGACCTGTGTGCCCTCCCAGGCTGGTGTCCACCCACTCCAGCAGGGGTGGTGGGCTTGGTCACTCCTAGGGAGGACACCCTACCTGGGAGAGAACTGGTTGTCTCCTCAGAGGCCTAGGCCTGTGTGTGTGTTGGGATGGGGGGGGTCGTGCCCCTGTTTAGAAGCCTCCAGCCAAGAAACAATCTGTGTACTGGATGTGCCGGAGGGGAGAAGGTATTGGCATCGCAGGACAGGTGGCTGGGGAGGGGTGGGAGGGGGAGGACAGGACAAGGGCTCAAATCCACAACATTTCTATCAGGTGTGTAGGGTGTGGTGCCAAGATGAAGGATGCCCACTCCGGCTTTCTTTGGTTGGAGGCAGGGGGCATTCCCACAACTGCACCATTGTCCTGTGGCCCTGCCTCAGAGGGGCAGGGCAGGGCTCAGTGACCAGTCATTTCTGTGGGATTCCAGACCTGGGGAGAATGCCCCAGAGGGACAACTCCTGGACCCTGCAGGGCCAGCTTGTCAAGACCTAGAGATGCCTGCAGCCCGATGGAAGCCCGCCCACCAGGCAGGAGGCCCGGTTCCCTGCAGAGTTGGGGGGACAGAAGTAGGCAAGCGGGGTTCCCTTCCTCACCCCTAGGTCGTCATGTACGGAAGGCATTCTCTTCTAAACGGAAACGAGGGGGAGGAGCTGCTGCTTCTGAGTGATGGATGGGCATTTTCCAAATTGGGGAGCAAGGGGGCCCCACAGAGGAGGGAAAGCCTAGAGGTTGGATTTCTTCAAACTGTAGGAATACTGGGGGAAAGTTAAACTCCACTTTAACCCAGAAAGACAAACAGTTGCAGCAAATGTGGCTTCATCGTTGAGTATGAACCGAACCCAGAACCAGGGCCAAGCAACAGGACGTCACCGAAGACCAGAGGACAGGACTGGGGCCACCACTGTCCCCGATACGTCCAGCCTGGGGCCTGCACTGCCGACAGAAATGCACCGTACATCGAGTGAGCGCTGAGTCAAATGGAGATGTCCACACCAGACATTCCAGGGAGCCGTGAGGAGTGTGGTGCAGTCTGCAGACGAACAGAATATCTAGCGCACCTGGTAGCCGCTCCGGGCCAGTCGAGATGCCATGGCCCTGCCCCTACCAGTTTTCCTGGGTGACCTTGCATGGAGGGGACCATCCTACCTACTGTAAGTTTGAAAGTGGTTAGGAATCTGGAGGGAGGGGGCACTGGAGGGCTGGGGAGCAGCACGGTCCCTCAAAGAGCCAGTCACAGTGGTGGCCTGGACTGTGTACCTTTGGGTATCTTGGATTTGAACCAAGTAAACGTTATCCTAATAAATATGTAAAATCAAAGACCATAGTCCTTTCTAACATTAACTCACTACGGTACCAATTGCTGAGTAGAACTTCATCCATGCCAAAGGCTTCTCAAATGACAATCGGGACGGTACATTGATGGTAAGCGCTCTGTAGGTGACAAGATCTCATATGTAGGAGACCTTTAGAGAGCACTTGAGAGAGAAATGGACCATAATACACCAAAATGCAAACAGTGGTAGGCTGATGGCCTTGTGCCAGCCCTCATGCTCCCTAGACTGCAGAGAAAGGACCCAGCTAGTGCAGGGTGCGCTATTGTCCTGCCAGTGCTCAGATCATTCAGCAAGTGAAAACTCGACCCACTGCCCGAGTCTGTACGGACCCACAACAACCCTATAGGGCAGGGTAAAACTGCCCGTGAGTTTCTTTACAAAAGTAGAAAGCCCATCTTTCCCCGAGGGGCAGTTAGTGGTTTTGAACTGCGGACTTGCGGTTAGCAGCCCAGCATGTAACCACTACAACACCAGGGCTCCTAAATGACGAGGGCTTTCATAATGAGGGGGAACCAGCTCCTCGTGCACCATGCTCAGCGGCTCGTCAACCCATCAATGGTGTGGCCCCGCCGGCCACTCCTTGGGGGAGGAGATATGTGGCAGCCCTCATCCATAAAGATTTGCAGCCCAAAACCCTGTGGGACCCTCCTACGCAGACTTACCGGGTCTCAATGCGTAGGAACTGGCTCAGGCAAAGTGGGTGTGGGTTTGGGTGGGCAGGCTGTGGTCTTTCTCAGCTGAGGGTAGAAAGAAGAAACAAAGGAAATGACGAGCACCTCATACAGAAGACCAGTTCCCAGCAGTGACACCAAGAAGGCACAGTGGGTCAAATAGTGATTACATATTGGGCTGCCATCCACAAGGTCAGCAGTTCAAAACCACCAGCTGCTCCTCAGGAGAAAGCTGGGCCTTCTACTCCCACAGCTAGTATCCTATCGGGTCACCAGGAGTAGGCGTGGACCTGATGGCTGTGGGTTTGGTTCTGAGATTTGAGGACCATCATGTGTCACGTAGAAGAGGAACCAGCCTTGGGTCTCTGCGTTGACTACGATGATAGCTGGGGGTCAGATGCTTGCAGTGGGGCAACTGCAGTGCTCCCCCAAAACACTGCCCCGTAACTACACCTCTGCTTGGTGCCAGGCATGCCCCTTCTCCCCAACAGCTTCTGGGTGGACAGCTATTCCAGGAGAGGCCTGTGTACCTCACATTCTGCCTACCATGAGCATGGAGGTGAAACCATCAAAATCACTGGAAACGGACTCTCAGAGCCGCGACGAGGGAACCCCCTCCTTGACTGGCAGTGACGGTCGAGTGTCAAGGTTCACCACCCACTCACCGCCATCACAGCAATGCAGACTCACAGCGACCCTACAGAACGGGAGAACTGCCCCTGTGGGTTTCCAGACTAACTGCTTGGGGGAATAGAAAGTCTCATCTTTCTGATACGAAGCAGCTGGTCTTTGGAACTGCACCCGTGGTAACTACACCACCAGGCTCCTCCTGGCCATCAGATAGCCCGTGGCATCTCGGCATTTACTCCTGGGAAGCAGCAGGGGGCAGAAACAGACCAGCTCAGGTCTAGGAGCTACTGGACCCCCCCC